GGGTTGGTACCTGCTAAATTGGCCACCGCGAATCGGGCTATGGTCGCGCTACGTCCGAGTCTCGCCACGACGATGGCGGAGTAGGTGGCGTAGTTGCCGCTCGCCCAGGCCATGTCCAGGGCAAAGCTGACGAGAAGCTCGTCGTGCTCCAACAGGTGCTCCTCAAGAAGGCAAACGAATGTGCAAAGCAAACCCTATATGTACATATACATACTTACATGTTATGCAGATGCGTACATCTAATATAATAAATATATATATATATATATATATATAGGGTAATTGCCACTGTGTTATGCTTTTTGCGGCGGATTTTGGTACACTTTCCAGGGCTGATTCTGCATGTTTCTCCGAATCTTTTTGTATGAGCTTGAAAGCACACATCGTCCTGAGATGCATGCAGACACCTGGCAGATGCCACATGCTGGCATCATTGCTTAACGTTACACGTAAATATTTATATGTTACACCCCCTACTTCGGAATCGTGAACCTTGAACCCTGAATTGCTTAAAACAGCTCAATCGAAAAAGCATCATCTAGCACTGCCCCCACACCTCCGGGTTTCCAAGTATGGATTTCAAGAGAAGGCATACAACAAGTGCATTGCTCAAAGCATCAAATTGAGGATGGTTACTTACCAGTATAAGTGCAACTTCGTGGTACATCTGACTGCTCAGATTCATTGGGCTCATAGGAATCAGGGACTATTGGACCCTGTTTCATCATTGGGGCCTCTTTGTTGGAAAGTGTTTTCCCTCTGTTCTGGACAACAAGAGGTCGGCAAATGCAGAGCCTTCTTCGATTGAGGGGAAGACGATCCGTGCACATGCTGGGGGAAAAAAAAAAACGCGCTTTACGGGCAATTTGGCGGCAATGTCTTTCGGACCCTTTTCTGGCTATTGGCTTGGCTCGGTTCTTGCTGGCATTCATGGAACTAGATAAGGAACATATCCCATGTGAAACTGAATTTGAACATACTTTCAGCTGGCAATAGTAATTTCCCCGATTGTTGCTTCTTAAAAATCCACAAGGAACTGCAACCCGTTAAAGTTGGATTGGTTTGAACACGAAACTGCCTTTACATTGGATGTTGTCCTGTGTCTGAATTTCAATAAGTGATATTGACAATAATTAAATCGAATCAAATCAGGGGCTGAAAACGTGCAAAGCAATTGTTTCGCAAGTCTCAATCTTACAAAAGGGAGTTCCTTTTTCCCAAATTGATGGTTGGCTGAGTTTCCCCGCAAACAAACAAAAAAAAAACAGCCAGCAGAGCTGTTGCAAAAACGTTGAAGCTGCCAAAGTGCAATTCGGGTACTACTCCTGTGTGGTTTAAAGCTGCATTCTTAAGACTGGAGCTGCCAAAGTGTACTTTGCCTGCCACATGGGTAGTGAAAGAGTGACCTTCGAGATGTTCAATTAGGAACTCCCTTTCAAAGTTAAGGTGACATGTTTTTTCGGTCAGAAATTGCATGGAGTTGACAAAGGACGCATACCCTTCGTCCGCACAAAGACCATCGTCCCAGAAAGGCACCAAAACCTAGGTCCTCAATTAAACCAAACCCTGAACCTTAACTCAAAAAGCATCAACCCTAATCTTAGCCCTAAAACCAAACCCTAAACCTTCACCCCAAAATCATAAACCCTAACACCATACACCCTGAACCCGAAACCTTGGCCCTAAAAACGTAAACCCTAAAACCAGAGACGAGCAAAGATACATGACACCACGCGCCTTTGCCCAAACCAGGACGCTGTGGGAGGGCGCGGTTTCAAGCTGTCTGACGTGTTGTTCACATCTAGGTCCTTCAGATTTGAGAGGTTAGAATAAGGGTACCAACTTTTTTCTCTGGTCTATTTTAGTATATTTTTTTTGGGGAAACCCCCCCCCCCCCCCCCCCAAAAAAAAAAAAGGCACTACTGGGGGACAGGACCTAGACATAGACATACATATTCAAAAAAGAGAGCGGGACGCTGTGAGGGTTTGTGCTTGAGCATGTGCTTTGTTTCCACGCTTTGAGTGGAAATCCCGTTTGTTATGAACGCAAGTGGGTGGCTGTTGAAACATGCCCAACTGTGCTCTGGACAAAACAAAGGTTTTTATGAGCCCCCGCCTGGATATACAATTCCAGCTACAAATTGGCGTCCTAGACTAGGATGCCTAAATGATAGTTTTCCTCCAGTTGTCCTTGAAAGCGGCCACAAACAAAAGGCACCCTCAAAAAGACACCCCGAAAGCCACAGCTTGTCGAGTTCTCGGATATTTCCGGCGGAAATCCTCAAAGAAGCTTGATCCTTTTAGGAAATAGATGGCACTGGTAAATATTGAACCACCAGGTAAACCAGGAATCGCCCTCCATTTCTGATCAAACTAATCGATCAAAAGGAAACTGTGGCTTTGACGCCGCCTTTTTCCCGAAAGCATCGCGAAGGATTGTCGCGCGCTCGTATGGGGAAGTTGCTCAAAGAGACTTGCTCAAGCGTGTGCTCATAGCCTTTTTGTGGGCGAGGTGAGGCCTTTTTGGGTTTGGTTTCACGGAAAACCCTGGAGAAAGCTGTTTTAGGGCTTCCTACATCGGGAGCCAAACCCACCAAACGACCAAAATGACCAAGAAAGACACCTATCTCCACTCCTTGGCCTGCGCGACCACAAGCTGGTTCAAGGCGAACAACGTGCCCGTGCCGGTGATCCTCGAGACGGGCATCGGAGTTCAATGTTCGCCCTCCGAATGGGGAGCAACCAGTTTGGGGTCCCCCCCCAAAAAAAAAACACGCCAAATGTGTTTCTGCCCACACAAAATCTGGCCCGGAAAGGCTCCCTCCCTGGACCAGCGCGGGTCCTGAATAGAAAAAGAAACAAGAACAACTAAACCGACCCACCGCTGGCCGCCCCGCCGCCCCCCCTTCAGCGCTCGCTGGCCCGCGCCATTTCTCCGCGATCCCGAGGCGCCCGAAGGTGCCGTCGGAGGAGTCGATGGCGAAGTTCCCGAGCCAGGTCTCTGCCATGTCCGTCATAAAGGGCACCTGGCCATTCCCATCCCCTCAGGGGTTTGAAAGTCTAGCAATACCATCAAATACTGGAAAAAGATCATGTGCTCTTGTATCTCCTGGTGCAACAATTGCAATAGATGAAATTGCACGGGTCATGGTTTGAGGTCAATGGAACCAAACAAAGGCTATAGTCACCAAAGCAAAATCCACCTTGTCTCTGGTTCCTTGGTTACTTGAGGTCAATGGAACTGGGTAAGTGAACCAAAGGGTCGCCGGGGGAAACTCGAAAAGGGCGTGCCATGGACACCCAAAAGCGCCGATGCGGTTTTGCCAAGAACCCTCAAAAAAGCCGATACCCTAAGTGAAGGGAGGTCATTGTTTCGGGGGATCCTGACAGGAGCCGTTCGGATCTGCTGTTGTTTTGTTTCGCCCCCAAAACCGGGTGGACACTGAAGCCATACACTGGTCGGACGTGAGCTGCATAACCCCCCCTGGCTTGCTTAGGTCCAAAAAGGCTGAGTCAAATTTATCGGAGAAAAGCAGGGGGACCACAAGAGGGGTTGTAGCCACGACAACAAAACATGTTTGCCACCCACGACAAGAACATAACCAACCACGACAAGAAAAACGGCACGGCGGAAAAAACCCAGCATAGACCCAAATAGCGAACAAAAGCCAATGATTGCACACCAGCACCTCTAACAGCACACCGTCACCAGCACCTCAAACAGCACCACAAACAGCATCCCTAAAAACCCGCAAATTGCATTCCCCCTAGCCCCCATCATCAATCCGCAAAAATGCGCCCGCACCGTCACCTGCACGCCCCCGTAGCGTCCCGCCGTCAAATGCGTCCGCACGGTCGCCAGCACCTTCAACAGCGCAAACACCACCCCAAAACAGCACCTGCACCAGCACCCAAACAGCATGCCCTAGCACCCTGCCGTCAATCTTGCAAAAATGCACCTGCACAAACACCAGCCCCTCAAACAGCACCCCAAACAGCACCCCCAAACAGCGCCTACACCAGCCCCCCAAACTGCACGCCCCCTAGCACCAGCCCGTCATTCTTGCAAATCACTTTCCCCTCTTTATTAGAAGTTAGGATCCTTACAGCTTTCGCTATTTGTGGCAAAAGCATAACAAGCAAATGGAGGAAAATGGAGGAGGATGAAGGAGAAATGGAAGAGTATTCAGGAGATGTTTTTGCATCCTCCTCCATGTCTCCTCCATCCTCCGCCATTTCTCTTCCATTTCTCCTCCATTTTCCTCCACTTGCTGGTCTTGATTAAACTGCTATTCTAGTTGCTTTGTTGTTTGAATTCACACAACCGTGTTCGTCGTAAGCTCGTGAGGGGTGGGTTGTTTTTGTCGATGTCTGAACCCTTCCTTGGGACCACAAGGCCCAAACACCTAGCTCCTGGAGATGGAGGGCTGGAGGGCTGGAGGGCTTCACGTGACTGATTGGGTGAAGTGTCTGGAAGAAAGCGCTCGAAACTTGGCCGAGCCTCGTTTGGTGCGTCTCCTTATGGAGTTGGTACCCTGAGACACCGATGTCCCCAAATTGGCAGAAACATGCGATGCGCGGCGTTCCTGGAAATGGGTGGTTCGGTACTAAAGTTGTGGAGCCAACCAAAACCAAGAAAGGAGGAGTTCAAAATGTCTCATGTTTAGACAGGTGGTGTCCGAGTGCCAAACAACAGGCGGGGAAAAAAAAAGAAAAGTGCAAAGTAACAAGACCCCCAAATTGAAATTGCAACCAGCTTGGGTCTAGTTCCTAGGGAATACAATTACTCCAGTGATGTTCATCCCGGATTCATCAAGCCGACTCATAGGGGTGTTTTTTTTCCTCATAGTGGAACACCCCCCAAAAGATCAGCAGGTTTTCGAATTTCCATTGAACAGCCACCAAGAGGCGAGGCACCATCACAACTTGGTATAAAAGAGGTCTACCCAAAATCACACACCAGATCTCCGCGCCAAGTTCTTAAAAGGGACCCGAAACATGTTCGAATGTTTGCAAGTGGCCCTGCCAAGCTAAGGTGCCCCCTTGTTCTTGCCATGGGATGTTGGGGATGTGATGCGTGATGTAAACTAAACAAAACACACTGTAAAGCTACATCCCTGTGAGCACTCCTTCCGTGACTCTAGGGTGTTGCCACGCCATGGACCCGTCGCCATGCCGGAAAACTCCACCTAAGCACCTGCCTCCCGCTGGCTCCAGCGGCTCTGGCTGCAATGGCAGGAGCTCCAGATCGACTCCTGGCGAGCGACGAAACTTGGCGCCACGGCGTTCCAACGCAAAAAAAAACATGTTGAGTCACTTGCTCAAAACCTGGGTAAAGAACTAAGAAGGCGGATCTGTTTTTGGCTGGGACTGTCCCTTAGCCTTCACTTACCCGGGCTTTGATTGTGACTCATTTTGTGCCTTGATCTTGGAACCTCCTGTCAGAGACAACGAACATTTTTGGTTGGACCTTGGGACGTCAAACTTTGATGAGTTGAAAAGGGAAGGCGGTGGTACAAGTTACGAAGAGAAGCCAAACTTGGAGCGAGAGGAGCTACAGTAATTACCTAAACCCAGCAACCCAACACCCCCCCAACTTGATCCAGCAAGTTCATTCATTTTGGGTGGGATTGCCAGTTCTCTTTAGACCCCCTTCATATCCCAGCTTTTCCAACACGAGTCGGATGAAAAGAACTGCAACGACTTGGAACCTGTTCGACAAATTGAGACAGCACTACTCCTACAGTAACAGCCCTGAGATCTCGCGCTGCTGCCCTGGGAATACTTGGAGGGGGTCCCTCTTCAAATATGCTAAACTTTCCGGGGAATACTCTCGAAAAATGGTTGGCGGGCATGATTCCCCATGAACTATGTCTTGTTTCTCTCTCTTTTTTTCTTTTTTTCTGTCTCCTTATGCATACATCACCCGAGCAGGGAGAAGCGCTTCAACATAAATTCAGAAACGTAATGTTCAAACCACCAGCTTCTCCTGGGCGCGATTCATGCCCCACGCGCAAGGGATGTGGCTGTGGCTCAAAAATTGGGCAACCCCAAAATGGCACCCTGGTAAATGGAAATGACTAAAACCTGTGGTCCAGACCTGGTGTTGTTTTAGTTTTGACCCATATGGCTATGGCTCAAAATTAAACGATCGGAGGGGCAAACCGCAGGTGTTGGTCCATGTTTCCACTTTCCAGGGCAACCCATTTTGGTAATTACCGGCTTGTTGAGCCACAGCCATATGGCCATGGGTCAAAACCCCGGTTACCCCCAGTGAACATCAACCAATCCCCACGAAAATAGGTTCTATAATGGGTGGTGAACTCACCTGCCCCAAACATGGAAAGTGGCACAGACATAGGTGTCCTTTTTGGTTGAAAATAGATGAGCTTCCCTCATCTAAACCAATGCCTTCTATTTTTAACCAAACTCGCCTAAAAAGGACGCCTATGGTTCCTGCCCGTTGAGACCATAGGTGTCCTTTTTGGTTTAAAACAGATGGCCAAAGTCATGCAAGCATAGCGAACCTACCAGGCATCTAAGAGAAACCCTGGCGGTCACTGGATCCCCTTCCAAAAGTGAGCAATATTGTTTGCCCAGGCAACACTCTTGCGATGGAGCGATGGGCCGAAGCCGCGGAAAGCGAAAAAAAGAAAGAAAAGAAGAACGCTTTCCGGGGATCATGAGGCGGGCTTCGGCGACAATCGTTCCCGAGCAAAACCGCCTCTTCGGGGCTCTTTGGAAAGATGAAACTTTGCCTAGCCCTCTTTCATTTCACTTCAGGGATCCCATTGCCCTGGCCTCTTGCTGCTCTGTCCCCTCAAAAAGACCTCCTGGCACTGGGCACTGATCATTTTGTCGGAAACCAGTCCGGGCTGCCCGTTTTCAGATCCCCCCGCTAAAAGCTTAACTTTTAGTGGGTTAAATGGAAACTACCTGGGAGCCACCAAGTTGTGGCACCTAAAGAAGGCCCAACTTCTTTCAAGAGCAAACCATCAACTCAGGTGAACCGGGGCTCCAGACACCTGGGGCTTCTAATCACAAAGACGACTTAGTCACAAAAACTCCCGCCAGGTGTTGTCGGAACCCAAAGATGCAAAGAAGGCCACACAGCCTTCTTTTCGAGGCCGCAGTGTCTCAACCGTACAAGGGGGGCTGGGCCCCCAGTAAAGCCAACCCGGCCCCAGGCTCGCCTCCAAGCCCCGCAGGTCGGCAAAGACGTGCGCGGGGAAGATGTCCCGGCCCGCAGCAGTGCTCGGGGCCTCCCTGGCAAGGCTCAAAAGAGAACTTCGCCGCCAAAACAGCACAGCCCCCCCCAAAAAAAGAAAAGAAAAAGAAAAACAGGACACCACCATTTTTGTTGCCAATCAAACAACCAAGGTTCTCTTTGTTTTCTGCTTCCCCAAAAAGAAAGTGGACCCCGAGTAGAAGCGTTGCCAGCGGTTGCCTTTCCTTCCATCCAAAACGGGGGGCCCTTTCCCAATCGATGCCACACCATGCTGTTTCTGGCGGGGGGTTTCAAAGTCAGAAACTGGGGTGGGGTGATTTGATGATGATACATAATGGGGCCAAATGTGTCAAAAGGAGTTGAAACGATTTCTCCAAAACAGCCCTAGATGAAGCTGTTTTAGGTGCAGAGTGTAGAGGCTCCATTGTTCCTTCGGGCCGTGGCGGCTTCAGTTTTCATGGTCGTGAATGAACAAATTTGAGGCAAGTCCCATGTTGACTCACAAACGTTCCTACGGAAACCCCAATTGGAAACAACCCGAACCCACCAAGCAAACTTCAACACGCCTGGCTGATCAAACTGACCCCGTCTTAAACAGTGACGTGCCGCTTGGCAGGGGTAAATCCCCCCCCCCATTTTTTCCGGATTTGGCCAACAATATGTACTTGGGAGAGGAGAGACCCTGGCAAATGGAGCCAAGGATCACAACGGTCTGTTGGTGAAAAAGTCTGACCCATACAGCCACCTCGACGGATCCAGTTCTCCTAGGTCGTCCAGCAGAGTGGTTAGAATAAGGGTACCAACCTTTTTCTGCAGTCTATTCTAGTAATGTTGGACCTCCTTTAACATTAAAGAGAGTCCAACATTAAGGGAACCCTCCCCCAAAAAAGTTGGTCAAAGCACACCTAGCTGTGCCGAGGCGCATCTGCACCCAGGTCAGCGTGCTGGGGTCGATCTGCGCCTTTTCCATGGCGCTCAGCCAGGGGCTACTGCGCACAAAGTCGTAGTGGTATAGGGTGGCGCGCGTCGATGCCATCATCCTCCGCTTCGATGGAACTGGAACTCTTCCATTTGGTGAAGACCCCTGGAAAAAATACAAATATGTCCAGTAGTGATAAGTTCCTTTTAAAACCAACAAGGGAAACAAAAACAAACAACTTAAGCAAATGGAACTAAGCAAATGGAAAGACTCCCTCTTTAAAGGTCGAGTAAATTCTGACCAAGGGGAGCACCCTTGAGGGACTTGACCAGCCACTAGCTGTCCCTCACCCATTCTTGACCCAAGTGTCACAAGTAGAAAGTCGGAAAAACAATCCGGACCCCAAGAGACCCTCTCGAATCCACCCCCAAAACCCATCCACCCTTCTGTTCCCAAGATGCTCTCGGGAAAACAGCCTTCTTTCTGCTTTAGAGGACTTTCTACCGTAGCCCCATTAGCAAACAAATGCTGCACATCTTATGTGTGTGCTCTGACAACGGCAACCCCCCAATGGCTGGCTTTCCTTTCAGCTTGCCTTCAAACCCACCCAAGACATGCCCCCCCCCCCCCCCGCATTCCGCATTCCAGGCGTCTGGCACAGGGGCATCTCGAACAAATCCCGGGTGGCCAGGTAGAAGCCAATACACGCCTCGCAGGCCGGAGGCTTTCTTTGAGGTTTCTTAGCTCTAGGTCTTACATGATTCTAGGCGTTGATTCCTTTTCCATTCTTTTCAACCAACTTTTTGTTTAAACAATAAAGAAGAGGAGCAAACAAAAACAGTTGTTTTTCCTGGGTGGTTGATGGTTTCCTGAAAAGAAGGATCCCTTGAAAGAATGGCAAAGGTTCCACTAGAATGATGGCTTCCCCTGCGCATCTACTATAGAGGTGAGAGACACAAACAAATCTAAATATCATTAGAACGCGTGCGTTGCCTCTCGTGTTGTTGGTGTGACCGGTCTTTCTTGTACCAAACAACCCACTCTTTTCTTGGTGCGACAAAAAGCGGTTGTGTTTCTTGTTGTCTCAGCTCCCAACAATTTCCCCCCAAAAAAAATCACCCAACCAGGAGGTACGCACGGAAAGGTTCAAACCGTCGCAAAGCATACTGAAAACTGCCTGCTAGCTCCCCCTGCCCTGAGGCCTCGACCAAGGCTCCAAGGCCTAAAGCCCTAAGGCCTTTGGAAGGAATTAGAGAGGCCCAGGCAGGGTTTGACGAAAAAGAAATTTGTTATCCCTTAAACTCTCCGGGAAAAAAAAGAAGAAAAGGCACTCTGAAATGGGAAGCGAGCCTCAAATAAGACACGCCATGGTTCAGTGATGGGTCAGCGTGTCTCTTTTTGAGGGTACCCCTTCTTGTCCCAGCGTCTTTGTCCGTGGCCCCTTGTCGGATTGGCCCCGGCAACGCCGCCCGGACCCGGCCGCCGGAAACTTTCTTCGACCCCGCGGTACCCCCTCCCCCGCGGAAGCCCCGCCCCGCGCCAGCGGCAGGGAGCGCCAGATGGAGGTCCGCAGCCTGAGATGCTCCCAGTCCTTGGCCTCCGCCCGCAGGATCTCAGGGCCCTGGAGCTCCGGGTTGGAGGTTGGTGGGGTGGGGTGGATGGGAGGTGGGGCGGGGTGGGGCGGAGGTTGGTGGGGTGGAGGTTGGTGGGGTGGAGGTTGGGGGGCTTGCCGGCTTGGTGGGTGGTACCTGTTGCAGCTTCAGGAGAAAACAAAGAAGGAGAAAGACAGTCTGTGAGGTCGCCCTAGTTTCAGACATTGCGTATTCGATTCGATCAATGAGATGTCTGTGGCCCAATGTACCATGGCCTCGACTCGATCGAATGGAACCGAAAAGGCCCCGTGGGATTGGCCCGTTTAAACCACCAGCTGTTGCAACATTCTCCTTCAAACAAGTTCCCGCCCTTCAGTCCTATTTGGGATGGTTTAAACATCTTTTGGGGACAATCTAGAGGGGGTCCTTTGGGGCTGTTTGAAGGGTTGCGAGGGAAACCAAAACGAACACCCCATTTTCTGGGTCTAAACAAAATGACCTCCCCCTATGATGTTCACGAACTAAGGAAAACAAAAAGAATTGGGTAGGCGTCAAACAAAAACGCGGCCAAATGTGCGGTGGGTGTCCCTTGTAATTCCTCTTAAACCCGCAAGAGAGAGACCTCCTCAGGAACCTTTCGCACGCCAAACGCGGCCAAGCCCTGCTCCCGCGCCTGGGTGCCTAGCAAATACCAAGTGTCCAAGTCCAGGCACGCACAAAGCCCGCCCCACCAGTTCTTGCGCCGGAAGTAGAACACGGCGCCCAGCAGGTTGGTCATCACCAGCCCGGCCAGCTGTGCCTTCTCAGCGCTCAAGAGTTGGGGACCCCTGACTCGCAATGGGATTTGGAGGATTGCGACCCATGTCATCTTTTCGGAACCCGCCCATTTTGCAGTCCCCCCCCATTTTCACACATCTCATATGAATGGTTGAAAGAGTAAGTGGTCACCAAAAGAGTGAGGATTAAAATGGAGAAACCATGTGACATGGTTCCGTGGGGACGCTTTGGCATTGGGATTGAAGTCCGCCGTGCTCATTTGGTGAGGTTGCTTCACACCCACGCCAGAGATCGAAGAAGAAGAAAAGAAGGAAAAAAAACATCGCGTGGGATTCCCGCTAGGAAAAAACAAAACATTCTGAAGCTGCAGGCTTAGAGTTGCCGGGTGGCATGGGGGGGGTTTGATCATTTTAGCCGCGATCGATGAGCAAGGGACCGGCAACCGCAAAAACAGCTTGACGAGATGTCAGCGTGATGATGGAGGGAGGCCAGCGGTTCTACCATGCAACTCTTTAGAGGAAAATAGGTCTTGCAGGAGTCTCTCCTTTTTCCCCGGCGAATTAGGCTTCGAAATCGATTTCCCCAGTTGAAAACATGGACATTGAACCCGAAAACTCTGTTTGGGTGTCCCTCCTGCACAAGTCTGGTGCATGAGATGGGCTTGGTCTGGCATGGGCAAAAAGGAGCTTGCTAACACAACTTGCCCCCCCAGGAAAGGAGAAAGGGAGACAACTGGAACCAAATTTCCACCTCAACAACCGAAGATAAACGGGTCCCGCCAATGGGCAACTCTGGCTCTCTCGGACGATGTTGGCTAACCCAAAAGGAATTCGACTCGCCTCCGATCGAGTGCATGGGCCCCAAAAAAAAACGAACTTTGAATCACCACTAAAATGGTCTTCCCAAAAAGTTTACAGTCCAGGAACTCAGGTGAGTAGATTCTGGGGCTCCAAATCCAGATTTTGACGCACCCGTCATACTTGTCTGATCGTGCATAGATTTGGAGCCGAACCTCGCAGTACATTGGCCAGAGGGGTGGTCTCCAGTCGACAAGATTCAAACAGCTTCTTGATACACCAATGGGAAAGGTACCAATCCATCCATCAAAACAACTAATCCAAACCACCAAATGATTCCTTGGGGAGGTCTCTTAAGGGCCTAATGGGGTTGTGGGGTATACACCAAATGTAGCGATGATCATCAGAGAGGAATCTCGGGTGATGTGTCCAAATCGGGAGTCGGACCAGTTGGAACCCCAGCATGGAGGTCTCTTTTCCGCTTCGTATCCTTTTTCAGCTCCCACAAAAAGTTATCCTCCATTTGCTTGAGTCCCCTCAAAAGAATAAATAATGTGTCCAGTAGTGAAATCGATTCCCTTTAAAACCAACAGGGGGGAAAAAAATGGAAGTTCTACCAACTCAACAAAAGCTGAGTGAGTTGACCCCAGGAGACACAGGAGACCTCCGAGGCCGCTCGCTTTGATCCGCCGAAGCGCCGCCAGTGGCGCGCTGTGCAGAATGTCGTGGTCTCCATCCTGAGGATCCCCAGGATGGAGCGAGCCCAGCCCAGTCTCTCGCCACCAAAAAGGACCCTGGACAACTGGTCAACTGAACATGTGTTGTTTTTTCTTCCCGTCCTTCTTCGCCGTTCTTGGGCCGGTCGTGCTGTTCGTGCTGTTGGTACCCCGTTTAAGCCACCCAGAAAACGGCTCCAGCCGCTCTGAGACTCTGAGGGCAAAAACTTCTCACACGGCCCAATCAAGGCCAGCAGCAAGAAGCCCAGTCTCTCCAGAACACAAGAGGCCCAAATGTCAGGCAGGTCTCCTTTGTTTGCAAAACAAGAGTGGTGGCGCTGCCTGAGAAGGCATTTTGAGAAGGTGTTTTGCAACAGCGGTTGGACAGTCGTTGATAAGGCATGTTGAGTCCATCAAATCGGATTCGACATGCGCAGGTGTGTCGTTGTGCGAGGAAGCTCTCAAATGGGCGGTTCCATGGTGGTTTCCCTTCAACCACAACCACCCAAACGGATACCATGAAAAAAGGCGAATGGGACATGGTCACGTTGTCTGTTGTTTTTCCTTCAAATACGAAGCCTTGCACTGGTTGTCCAAAAGTTTGCTGCCCGTTGATGGTGTTGCCCACAACGGACTCGGGAAAGGATTTGGCGAGGCCTCTTCGATTTTCTTTTGAGACGAACTTCTCCGGGTTTCGGTGGTTGAGATTTCGTGATTCCGTCAGAACATGCTGACCGAAGCTGTGGGTCACGGACAGTTTTCAAGCAACTCACTTCAGCGGACTGGCCAAAAGTGCCATCAAACTTGTTGCTTGCCACAAACTGGTCACCCGGAAAAAAAAAATAAGAAGAGCAAAAAAACTCTTTCCATGAACTCGAGGTGAGTTCATCTTGCGGCACCCGTTTTCACGTGTTCCCCACGCCGAACTCGGACTTGCCGATTCGATCCGAGGGTCTAGGACCGCTTGTCCGTGGCCCAGTAGGTCCACCCAACCTTTGCACCAGCACACCACGAAGAGCACCAGCCTAAGGCGGATCCCCCCCCGCCCCCTCCTGCCCCCGCCAAATGGGCGCCTCGTTGATTTGTGTTGAGGGACTTCCCAAAAGTTGCCCGAACTGAAACCACATATCTTTGCCGTCAGGGTTTGATCGCCTCTCTCGAACCCGAGCGTGTCAAGAGGCCTTTCCGGGCCAGGGTTTGAGTCAAAGGACTACTTCAAATCACCTCTTGTTTCAGGGCATCAAACCCTGAAAGGATGTATGTATTCCAACAAATCTGCAGGTAGTTGGAGTCGCGGGAAAGGAAGACACCAGGTTTCCCGGTGACTTTGAGATCCATTCGGCGGGGAAGCCTGAAGAGGAGTTAAGACCTCGGTGGTTTGAAGGGAAAACGGAAGGGAGAAACCAAGGAGGGTGCATCCCTGAACCCCAAGAATGACTTACACCCCGTTGATAAGGGGAAAGGCCAGATCGGCCGCGCCCCAAAGGGTTGGAAGCTCACGTCATCCCAACCAATGATAGTCAATTACCCTCCCACCAATTAACATGGAACCTGACAGAGGGTCCTGGAAGACCGGTTTCCTTTAAAGGACCGGCTCCCTGTCAGGTTCATTTGGCTGGAGGGTAGGTGTTTAAGCAAGAAAGGCCTTGGTAGAAGGATTTCAGAGTGGCATTTCTCTGGCGGTTCTTGCAAAAGCTAAATATTCCTTTCAGTGTCAAGCCAATGTGGTTCGAAACCTTAGCGGGAATCGTGGTAACCGGACCGCAGTAACCGAAGTGTAGGAACCGAACCGTCAGCTGTCAGTGAACTGAACCGTGAATCAACCGAACCGTGTGCGGAATCAACCCCGTGGATTCATAGGAAACGGTGAAAGGGGTTTACCTCCCTCCAATTCATCATCCCGCGCACGCAGGGTCCACACTCAAACAAAGAAACGAAAGCCCCCGCAAGTCATCTCCCCGTCCCCCGTCCCCCACCAACAAAAACACGAGACAAAGACGCCCATACCCGTGAATGGGGGGGCGCAGGATCAAAAAAATATCAACACCCGGATCAACAAAAATATCTACAGGATCAAAATCAAATTATCGTGCCCAGGGGTGTCAAAACGCTGTAATTTACATCATGTTCAGGCGACAGCGTCACGGCCCCAGCTCCAAAATAAACACAATTCTGTGCCTGAATTTTCACTCGCGTTGTCCATGCACGAGGTGCGCGCGGGCTGATAACCACTCAACAGGGAAAGAAGCATGCATGCAGGCATGTGGCCTCATGACATGTGCGCATTTGGAGTGCCTCTTTGGGGGCCCAGGGGTTGTGATTATTCAACTTGTTTAGGGCAGTGTTTAGGGTTGGCTTCGGCTGGGTTAGGGCCGGTTTATGTTTTGTTTAAGGTTGGCTTAGGGTGGGTTGAGGGTGGGTTTAGTTTAGGGTGGGTTTAGGGTAGGTTTCGGGCAGGTTTAGGGTGGGTTTAGGGATGGTTTAGGCTTGGCTTAGGTGGGTTAGGGTGGGTTTAGGGTTGGTTTCAAGGTTGGTTTGTAGGTTGGTTTGTAGGTTGGTTTTGGGCTGGTTTAGGTCTGAAAAAAGACCACCAAGACATCAGGGGACCAACAGAGCAGGAGACCAGGAGACCAAGAGACCAGGAGACCAGCCAGGCGACTTGGAGACCGGGGGACGAGGAGACCAACAGACCAGGAGAACGTCTCAAGAATTGTTGTTTGATCCCCTAAAAAGTGTTTTTGTTGATCCCCTGACTGTTCTCTGTTTTTGAGCCCCAGGCCCGGGTGCCCAGAGGCATTTCTCTGCTCATCGCCAGGCCACGAGGCCGAAGCCGCCGCCGACGCCTTCGCCTTGGGCTCCTTTCCTTCGGCGCCGCCGACGACGGCGCCTTCCCTCATGCCATGAAGCGAGCGGAGGGCTTCCGCCCAAAGGCCTGAGATAAAACGTGGTTGAGCATGGCGCTTGGGCCAAAGGCGATGGAGATCCGGCGTGCATCGAGGCGTTGGGAACGCGTTCGTGGAACGCGGTTTCTCGCAGACCAAAAAATGAGAAGCCTGCTTTTTCCCCCCCCCCACCCCCATCCGGAAATCAGGGAAATATGTTCAGGGGACACCCCCTCGTCAACATCAATGGTGCCTTGTGAATGTCCCAGGTTTATCTCGACTTTGGAGTGCCAAGTGATCCAGATCAGATTCAACTGGGCCCAGAGAATGCGCGCCGAAGGAATCGGTCGCACCAACAAAAAAACACGTCATCAAAGTGTTGCATGAGTCGGCAATTCACAAGGCGGCGTCCTAGTTTGAAGCACCCCAAAGGATGAAACAAAACATGTCGCAAGGTACTTGTGTGAGACAAGTTGCAAAATCATAGTCTGGGCTGTCAGATCCCACGCTAGTTCAACTTTTAGTGGGTTAAATGGAAACTACCACTAAACACTAAAAGGCTAAAAAGCTAAGGAACCGGATGTCTGGGAGCCACCAAGTAGTCATAAACAAAAACCTCTAAGCAGCTATGACAGACAAAACTCGCACCGTTCAGGGAAGGAAGCTCCACTCGGATTCGACCGACCAGCATGGGCGGCTCGTCTTTTTGCGGCAAGCGGACCGACCCAAAAAGGCTCGGTGGTTATTTGGGCTTTCCTTTAAAACCAAAACAAAAACAAAAAAACAAGGTAGCCTCACAGAAAGACACCCCCACATGAAAACCCCAAAGACCTTGTATGCTCCTAACTCTCAGTCGGACAAAAGGATGCCAATCCACCAATTCACCAATTGCAATCCCTACAATTCGCTCGGACGCTTTGGCTCTTTGGAGCTTTGTTCCGCCGCCAAAATGCCAGTGCTTCCCTTCAAACCCGAAAAATTGGGCTCCGACCCCAGAAGGGGCTCCAACTCCCATGTTTGGCGTGCCATCCTTCGCAAAACGGCTTGCTGGCTTGACGGGGGATTCCGATCCTTGGTCGGCTTGCTCCTCATTGGCTTGGATTGAAGGGACTTTTGATGGTGACGTTGATCCCATCTGTGGTCCATGTGAGGTTTGGAGGGAGAGACACAAAAACTCCCCACGCAAACCGAGGCTAACGTGGTTTTTTTTTCCACGCTACCCCACACCAGCTTCAAAAATGAACATCGGACCCAAAACGGGGTCTCAACAAGATGGTCTAGTTGTTCAAGCGCACATTTGGGGTATTTCGTGCGCCACAATTGAATCGGTCCATGATTTTGAGACGAGATTCCGGCCCAAATCGCGCGGAGTTGCCGGCTTGTTTCAGTAATCGCTGGTTCGGGGCATGCAAACTAACACGGAACCCAAGTCAGAAGGCCCTTTTCCGAAAAGAAGATTCCTCTTAGAGTCCAAATAAAGATCAGGCCGTTTTTGGTCCCATCTTAATCGGCAGAGTATCTCATTGCGGATATGTAAACAACACGTTTGGGTGACCGGGTCGTTGCTTGGTGCTCTTTCGCGGGTGTATCTAGAAGCGCAAAGACTCAACACCAAACCAACTGAACAACCAAATACCAAGAAAGGCCAAAAATACAAACAAAACTAAAAAATGAGTTCCCCTCCCCGCAACTCCAAAAAAACACCTCCATTCACTCGCATGCCGCGAGCGAAGTCGAGAAATCGATCGATGGGGGAGTCAAAATGAGATCCGGATCCCCCCAAACCGGGAGCAAAGGGAAAACCAACAAGTCTTGACACCAATTTTGTGGTCCCCCTGCTTTGACACACCCCTTTCACTTGCACAAAAAAGTGTGTGCCTTTGGTTTCCCTTTGGTGCCCCCAAAAAAAAGACGATACTTGCTAGCTTCTTCCCGTCGATCGGAAAATATCGCAGTTCGGAACCAACGTCCCAAACTGAAAAACCTGTTCAACTCCTCCGAAAAAGGAAAAAATGCGGCTCTGCGCCGCAAAGTTAGAGGCACCCAGTGACATGTGCCTTTTCCCCCCGCTAGAAAAACGGTTGGGATTTGCGTCTCGTGGATGTCACTTCTTCTTCTTCTTCATCTTCATCTTCTTCTTCTTCTTCTTGTTCTTCTTCTTCTTCTTCTTCTTCTTCTTCTTCTTCTTCTTCTTCTTCTTCTTCTTTTTCTTCCCCCTCTTTTTTTTACTCTTTTGCTACTCTTTTTGATACTCCCTACAAGGGCCGGATCGATCCACAGACTTTCGCCACGTCCAAGCTGCTCCGTTTCCGTCCCCCCCCCCCCGCCCCTCCCACTGGATCCGAATCGATCCGAAGCGAGGGTCATGGACTTGGGCGTCACGTCCAAGAGCTCCTTGGCCACGGTGCGCAGGGCGCCCCACACCGCCCCGCTCCTCGCCGAGGGACGCTTTGGGGCGAGGGGTTTGGGCGGGGATTTTCGTGGATCCAAAAAAGGGGCGCCAGGGAACAAGGTATCGCAGGAATGCAGTGCATCCCTTGCCCGTGAGGGGTGCTGGACGGTTCAGTGGTTTTTAGTCCATGGAGGCAAAAAGGGTGCGAGTGAAGAACAAGGTGGAGTGGAAGGAATGCAGAACCCTGGGTTGCCACAATGCGAGTTCCTGCCTTCCACGAACATTTGGAATGCAGTGGATCCCGGCCAAAAAAATGCGAGGGGGTCCGCTTGTTGTTGCATGCGCCGACGGACGAACATCCGGATTTTTTGGTCGAACCATTGGTGGTTTGAATTGGTGGTGTGGATTGCTGGTTTGGTGGCTAAGAAGGGGTTTCCCATTTAGACTCTACAAGAACCAGGAGTTCAAATCCAAAGCCAAGCCAATCACATCGCTTCGAGCAATCCCCACCCTCCACACTCACGAGCTTAAATACCTCCGTGAACATGGTTGTGTGAATTCAAGCATGGTTTTCAAGTGGTTTGGGGCCTATGACTGCTCAACAAGCTTTGCATTGAGAGCCTTATCCACCTGTCTGTGTGTCAAACTCCACTTGTCTGCAAGCCGATCTCTGAAACTCAAACATCGGTTCCGTTAACAAAAGCCAAGCCCCCTCCAAAAACAAACGACGGGGGATTAAACGAAGTTGCTTATTCACAACCCAAAGCAAAACAAAAGCATCACCCTTTCCGAGCCTCAGGGTGCACTCAAAACACGAAGGCGCCAACATGAAATGTAAACCCAACTGTGCGCCGGGCGGGGCATCAAGCAAAACCAGACTGGCGAGCTGCTGTGGCGGGATACTGGCGGGATCCACTGGCGAATGCTGGCGAGCCGGATACTCGGCAGGATCCACCGGCAAGGGATACTCAGCGGGATTACTTTGGGATACTCAGCAGGATGCTCGGCGGGATCCACTGGCGGGCTGCTCTGGTGGGATACTCGGCGGGATCCACTGGCGAGCCGCTCTGGCGGGATACTCGGCGGGATCCATTGGCGAGCCACTGGCGAGCAGCTCTAGGCGGGATCCACTGGCGAGCAGCTCTGGCGGATACTCGGCGGGATCCACTGGCGAGCTGCTCTGGCGGGATACTCGGCGGGATCCACTGGCGAGCTGCTCTTGCAGGATACTGGGTGGGGGCGTGGTGTAGAAGCATCGCAAACGCGGATTCCAACATAAAATCTAACAACCCCTTCCTGCCGGGTGGGGAATTCAAATCACTAAGGTAGCTGAGTTTAACCCCATAGCGGGCAAAAAACGGTGTAACAAAAGTGCCACCACCCGACCCCCCCCCAAAAAAAAAACTGCAAAAAGATTGCGGCCAATACTTCTGGTTGTCTTCTGGCTTCCTTCTGGTTGCTCTGGTTGCCGGCTTGGGGGCTGGTTTCCTTTGACTGCCCAAAAAACGAGGCACCACCGCCTTTGAGACACATCCTGGCAGAAGAGGGGTTGCAGTCCCGCTCCACTCTAGGGCTTTTCGGGGAATTCGGATCCTGGGACTCAGAATCAAATTGGAAAACCAACTCCGACACCCAGACAGCAACCAAATCAGACTTTGTGTGTCATGTTAAGCGTCAGTAAAAATAGCCATATCTGGTGGGCTTTCCCTGTTGGGAGATGAGCCCTTCCCATTTTGGCTGATTTCCCCGACCCGCGAAAGCTCTGCTTTCTACTTTGTTTGGGAGCGGCCTAAAACGGCAGCTCCTCGCTTGAGGCTGCTGCGCGACCTTCGTAAGCATCTCCTGGCTGGCGTCGGATTGGGGGCAAACGGGCTGGGCAAACTGACAAGGGGATGACCAAAACAAAGCCCAATGCCTAAGTGGGACATACCAAGGGCTCCGAAAAGGGTTCATAGATTCCAGCCAAAAGGAGAACCGGAGGAACCAATTTCAGTTGACGTGTTACCCCTCTCCAACCGCTTCTGCCAACTGGGAAACACCCTTTCCACGGGCAAACCCGGCAAGCATTGCTTCTTGACTAGGGCATGGCAATTCACCTTGCTCCAAGCGTCTCCGTAACCGCTTTTTCCTACCAATACTAAGTACTTCAACCCCTGACCCAACAAGCTGGCATTTACCCAAGACGGACCCATTTGCCCCACAAACCACCCCGGACCCAAGATGGTTGTCTTGCTCGAGCGGAAAATCAGCACACTCGTTGACCCGGAGAGGATGGTGTTTACCCAAGATAAATCCAAACCTCGCGCAAACATAAACGCCGGTCTATCAGAAAAAGAGCAGAGGACAAATGGAAGACAAAAGCACGTGAAGGAAGTAGCCCAACAGCTTCAACCCAACAAAGTACGAAGGATTATATAAAGCGATTAAGGACTCCAGTGCTCAATGCACCGGGGAAGTGCCAGTTACACAAGACCTAGGAGCATGATACAAGGAAAATCCAAGTTGAACCCCTTCCGGTTGGGAAGGAAACGATTCTAGGTCCTCCAGTAGTGAGGCTAGAATACGGGTACGCTTTTTTCTGTAGCCTATTTTAGTAGGGGGACCCTCCCAACCAAAAAAGGGGAGAGAAAGGGCACTAGTGGGGGACCCAGGATTCAACCCGGGCCTTTCGCCCAAAAAAGAAAACGCCGGGGCCCC